GCCCAGGCCCTGCCTGCAGGGCCACCTTAGACACTCAGATGTTGTCTCCGGAAGGTGTTCAGGTCATCCACACTCTCATGGGAAGGAGAGGCTGACATGCTCTTCAGTAACCTCTTCCTGAGGCACAGGAGAGAGAGCATGGAGCACAGGGTGGGCCCCAGAGGGAGGAAGGCTCAGGAAGGGGTGGGACGGAGCATCAGGGCCAGGGACTGCCCCATCACAATGTCTGGGGCTGCCGAGGCCAGGGAACCTCACAGCTGTCTCAGGGCTCAGGGCGCCCAGGGCCTCCGGTCCACACCAGCCCCTATCCAGCCATGTGGGTGAGCCCAGGTCCTCCTGCGTAGACTCGAGGAAAGGACTCCCAGGAGATGAGCGCACCCAAGGACAGTTACGAAATCTCCTCCTTGGAGTTACCTGTTAGCATTTTAAGTGTCTTCTTAAAAAAGAATTCAGTTAACTCAAAATGACCTTTAGAAAAAGAAAGTAAAATAAATGACCTTTAAAACCCTCATACCTGGCATGAAGCTTACTGACGTAACTGAATTAACATGAAGGCAGCATGAGTAGCTGACTGCACGTTTGCTTCCATGGCTGAAGCTGGAGTCAGGGGCCATCTGATTCGGTCTGTTTCCCATCTTGCCGGCCCAAGGATGCGCATTCATTTCGCCTAGACTGCACACGTCCACACCTTCTGGCTGTAAAGCATCCCAGAGTGTTCACTCGACCCAGTTTGCTTAGTCAATTCCCCAAGTGCTGAACCTTTGGGCTCCTTCCAATTTCTTGCTATTATAAATATCATGGCTATGAATATCTCTGTACAAATTACTTTCTTAGTATTTTACTGGGAAGCATTCCCCAAGTGGAACTACTAGGTTAAAGGGCATGAACAATTTTATAGTTCTTGTCACATATTACTAGATGGTTCTCCAGAACTATGGAGCCCATTTACCGTGACACCAATTATGTACTGGTGTCCCCACAGCCCTCCAGTATAAAGGTTCATCATTTTTATTAATGTGTAGCTGTTTCATTTACTTCCTTTTCCTCATTTTGTGATTTTGGTCAGGAGTGGCACGGCAAGTTGTTTTAATGCTTTTGTTGCGATGATTGGTGACACTGGACATTCTCTGAGGGACTTTGAGGACTTGACGGGCATCATTTGTCCTGCAGGGATATGGCAGGATCGGTCCTGAGTCAGAGCTGGCTCAGGACTGGGAAATGGACAGCTCGGAGTTTTCAGACTTAACTCAGTTCTCAGTCTCTCAGCAATAGGCCAGCACGCACCTCAGCACCATAGTTGCCAGTGCCCTGAGGCTGAATGATGAATATGGTTTTGAAACAGCACCACTTGCCCCAGGGAGAAGACTGAGATGAAGGGGAGAAGGAGAACCCATGGCCTCACGCTTGTCCCCACCTTGGTGGACTATGCCTGAGCTCCACTGGACAGGCTGCACCGCCTCTTACCCCAGAAGTGGCCTTCTGGGCACACGGATTACCATGTTATGCTTGTGGCTGTGGCCATGGGGATAAACCAGATTTGGGGCTTGTGGTGTACCTGCGCGCTGATCCTAATGACCAACCGGGAGCTGCCTTTACCCAGTGCCTTTAAAACCAGGGCTCTGCTGGTGGCTAGAGAGGCCTGCCTGGGTAAGATCAGTAACATTTGTGGAGGTCTGGGCCCTCATGTCTTGGCTGAGGTCCAAGCTTAGGGAGTTGTGGAAAAAATGGGTGTTAGGGAACATTGACCTCTGGGGTCAAAGACTGTGGCCTGCAGATAATGACAGGGGGCTTATCAGTGATACCAGGAACTCAAAGCAGAGACAGTGAGGTTCAGGGGCATGAAACCCAGTGATGGAAACCGGGTGCCACGCTGTTGCAGGCAGGGCCACAGGGCATCCTGCGATCTCAGAGCAGACACACCAGATGATGGAGGAGAGTAAATCAGGGCAGACATGGCTGAGGGGGCAGGAGGAGCTAGCATAGGGTTTAAAGTCAGCAGTTTAAATTGTGGTGTCAAAGGACTCCACAAACTTGGGAATAAATGGATAGTTATGGATACTCAAGGATATTCTTGGTAGGATGGAGCAGAAGAGTGATTTATGCAACCAAAGGAGGTCTTGGAGTCCCAAGAGCCTCTCCATGTTGAAGCAGGATGCTAGGGGATGAGAGGACACAGAGCCAATGTATAATACAGATAACAAGGCCCAGCCTCTTGGAGGACAACTGGTGGAAGCTGGCCAGGGGATCATCATTCCAAACCACACCTGGACTTGGGCAGGGCCCCTCTCTGCAGAGGCCAAGCCAGGATCATGACCATCAGGCTAAGGGGGAAGCGTGCATGTTGCTGGGATAGCAGGTGTCTTGGGCCCACTAAGGTCCTTCAGGCTTTGGGAAGGAAGCACACTCCCTTTCCTTCTCATTCCTGGCCTGCTGCCCATGGAACCAGGGCTTTGATGGTGCTGGATCAGGTGGTAATGGACAGAAGAGACATGGTGTGTGCCCCCGGCTCCACAGTGGCAGTGTGATAGTTAAGAAGTGGTTTCGTGTGGCAGAAGTGTGAATCTTAGATTCAGGTACACATATACCTTACTGGGTGACCTCAGTTCTCTCTGAGCCTTGGCTTTCTTTTCTCTAAAATGGGGATGCTCATACCTGCCTTACAGGGTGGTTGAGAAGACTGAATGAGAAAATAATATATGACAGTGCTCAGCAAGAATAGTTATTGTCGACAAATGTCAGTGTCCTTCCATTAGCCTCTTTCAGTTCCTAGAGCAGAGCTGAGTTTATCAGTGGGCCCAAATAGGCCTCCACTCTAGACGGGGGCGGCGGGTGAAGGAAGGGGCAGCATGCCCTCTGGTAAGCCCAGGAGCAGAGCTGGAAGAGCTGGAAGAGCAGCTCTGCTTCTGGGTTTATCTGACCCAAGAGTAGTGATGAATTTGGTGAAGTGGAGGGGTTAAAGCCAGGCAAGCGTCTGACCCTTAATTTCCTTATCTGAAAAATAAGTTGTGTGTGGCCTTATGATATGCATGGGAAGCCCCTAGCACCATTCCTGCACATAGTAGGAGGTCCACACATACGTGACAGCATGGATTCTGTGGTTGAAGACACTTCTTTTGCCCTCAGAGTCATACCACTGTGAAGGGTTTCTCTCTGTGAGCTCAGAGTCCAGCCTGGGGTTGGTCAGACATGAAACGGGTTGTGCGTGGTGGTCAGTGCTAGGGTGGTGGCTAATCATGTTACCCCTGAATTGGCTGAGGAGGAAGTGGCTCCGGGGGAGGCTGCTCTGAGGGCCACTGAGGCTGTGGGGGCCTCAAGGGTACTGCCAGGGGAAGAATGGGCACCCTGCAGTCCTCTCCTCTAGCCCAGGGTGTTCTCAGAGTGTCCAGAACCAACAGGTCTGCTCAGATGCTGGACGTCAGGTTCTGCTTGGCACATAGCACAACAGCTTTTCCCCTGAAGGAGCATTACCAGAGGCAGGCAACATGGAGGTGAAGAGAACTGGAAGGGGCTGGCATGAATCATGAATGAGTGAGGTTGGGGGTGAAAATAATTCCGAGCAGCCCAGAGTGAGCTGGCCCTCGGTTCAGCCTCTGTACAGCTCCACAGCCTGTGCCCTGACTCTGATCCCAGTCCCAGCCAGTTTCTGTGCACGGGGGACTGGGTGATGAGCGTCGTTCTCTGGAGGCAGCAGGGCCTCAGAGGGTCCACACAGCCTGGAGAGAGACAGGTTGAAGTTGCCCCAGACTTCCCCTGGCAGCCACCTTGCTTGGGGCAGCACCACGCAGGAGCTAGAGGAGTCCAGGGTTCTGCATCCCAATCTGTCACTTGCGAGCTGTAGACCTGGGGCAGGCCTAGCCCCTCTGACTCCTCGTGCCCACTTCGGAGCTTGCATCTAGGAGAGGTGGAGTAACTGCTGGTGTTTGAGGACTTCGGCAGTGGTTATGAAAGCGGGTTGAAGAGGTGTGACGTGACCTGCGCATGCTCAGCCTGCCAGGTGTGCAGCCCCTGCACTTTGCAAATGACCTCTAGTCCTTGTCACCCTGGGACAACCCTGGATCTTTCTGGACCTGACTTAATCCTCTGGACAAGCTTTGCAGCACCCTATCTCCCCCAGATGCACACACATTCACAGACACAGCCATTGCTGCGCACAGATGGAGCTCCTCCCTCTCAGCAGGTTTCTGACCTCCAACCTGCCTTCTCCCACCCCAGGCAGCTCCCCTCCTGGCTCCTGGTCTGCTCCCATTCCTCCAGCATCTGGCCTCACCAAATACTGGTTTGTGAATGGCCTCACTCCATGAATCTGACACCAACTAGGTCCAGCTTCTCCAGCTCATTCTTCTAGCTCCCCCGTCCTCCAGCAAGATTTAAAAACAGTCCCTCTTTGCTGAGCATGTGGGAGTTGGCACAGGGCATTGTTGCCAAGGAGTTGTTCCCAGTTTCCTTTCTTGCTGAGTCAGGGTCAAGGAGAGCACCCACGCGGAGTCCTGCAGCCCTGGGTTTGGCCCTTGGCTCTGCTCCTCACCAGCTGTGTGAACTCAGCCAGCTGTTTTACCTTTTGAGACCTGCTTCCTGATCTACAAACCAGAAATAATAATAGTACCTTCTCTGTAGGCTGCCATAAAGATTAAATGGGACCCTACATGCTTTTAGCATGGTACCTGGCACAGGGCAAGCATTTAATAAATGTTAGCTACTGTTATTATTTTGTGCCTAAGAAAATGCTTAGCGTGAATGACGGGGAAAAGTCTCCTCATGTATTCACTCAACAAATGTTTACTGAACTCCTGTTTTGTTCCAGGCACTGTCCTAGGCACTGGGGATACAGCAGGGAGTAAAACAGTGAAAACCCTTGTCCTCAGGGAGCTTCTGTTCTGGATTCCACAGCCCACACACTCAAGTCTTTGCTGTCAGTCCTCCCCTCCCTGAGTCTGCACCTCCCCCTTCGTATGGTAGAGGTGCTGGGATTATAGGCGTGAGCCACTGTGCCCGGCTGAATTGGGCACTCTTAACTCCTGGCTCTGAAAATGGAAGAAACAGCCATTGATTGAGAGAAATAGGCAAATGCTTCTGCCTCAGCCTCCTTCCAAGCTCAGGGCTCCTGAATTTCCCTCTCCTCACGTGTCCTCTCCCTAAGCTCCAGATGCACTGTTCCAGTCGCTTGGAATGGGGTGGCCTGCGGACACTCAAACCTGGCGCATTTGAACAGTAACTCACATGCCCACCCCCCTCTCAAGCCTGCTATCCCCACTGGGTCCCCTGAGGAGTCACTGTCCAGACCCCTTTCCCTCCAACAGGCTCTTCTACCTTCATCACCACCAGCACGAATAGAGCACTTAGTGCAGGCACCATGCTAAAAGCTTTTATTTATTAAATCATGGACTCCTTGACGTCCCTGAAAAGCATTCCAATTGTTTGCAGATGAGAAAACTGAGGTGGAAATGGCTAAACAGCCCCAGGTCACAAAGCTAGTGGGGTGGAGCCCAGGCAGTCTGGCCTCAGTTCTGCTTCTCCTGCCGCTGTGCTGTCCTGCCTCAGGTCCCGGGGGCTTGCCTCAACTGTACCACACACCCCAGGCTCCTCCTGCGGGCCAACCGCTCTGCCCTGGGCTATTGAATAGCTGCTCACTGGTATCTCTGCCTCCCTCTGGCTTCACCACAGATCCTGCTGCCAGGGCTACCTAGGATCCCCTCCCTCACAGGCAGGACCACTTCCCCAATGCCACCTGCAGCCCTGCGATTTCCCACTGTTACAAACAGCCCGGCCTTGTTCCAGACCAGCTTCCCCAGTCCCATGTAACCTCTCCAAGACCGTTCTCTGCTACTCATTCCCCGCTTTTGTAGGGGAAAGCCTAGCCTGAGTGTTCTCTACAAGGCTCTCCCAGGGCAGTGGGAGTGGGAGGTGAGAAATGTATATCCTTTTCATGTAAATTTTCAGATGGGGCCCTTGATAATGGAACGCTAGTGATGTTGGGTGCCTCAGACCTTATCGACCCAAATGCTTTTCCTTCCTCCCGTGGCTCCCTCGCCCCATCTACCTTTAGTGAGCTCTGTATCCTTTAATACCCAGCCTCAAAGGCCGCCTCTGCTGCAAAGCCCTGCCTGGTCGCCTGCCAGACTCCTCTGCACTCTCGCTGTGCCCCATGGGTCTTTACCTCTGGCTGGGTTGACTTCATACCGCCTGGGATTATTGTTTGTTGTCTGTGTCCATCTGTGTCCTCCAGTAACCCGTGATCTTCACAGGCCAGTGCCCTGTGTTAGTCATCTCTGGGTCCCTGTGACTGACGGGGCTGGGTGCAGTGCGAGCCTCAGTACTGAAACAAACAGAGCCGGCCTATGAGGTCGCTCCACCATTTGGGGCAGGAAAGATCTGAGTTTCTTTCTGCACTCCCATCGAGCCCTGCTGTAGAAACCACACATGGGGAATGATCGTTGAATCCCAGAAGGCTGAGCAGGAAGGGCCGCTGCAGGTCATCTGTGTTAATTCTTTATCTTTGAAATGTTGGAGCGAGGCCCAGAAATGAGAAAGACCTAGCTCACGACCATTCCGCAGGGAGGAGTTGTGGTTAGAATTCAGACCCCTGGCTTCCAGCCCAGTGTACTTTCTGCTTTGCTGAGCCATTCCATCTTTGCTTTTTCTCTACACAAACCACCTACTACAATAACAACAATTGCTTATGCTGAAACTCAGCCCAGTCTCGTAGCTCCAGAACCTCTCTTTGTCCCCTTCCAGATAACCACAGGACACTTTATGTTACACGTTTGTCATAATGATTTTGCACTCTGATTTTTAAATTCAGTTTTCTTCGTATTCTTTGGGGAGGAGGGTAATAAACATTTACATTCCTATAGAGAAATTAAGTACTTAGAGTATATTTCTGGGTTCCTTCTTTTCTTCCACTGAAGTTTCACATGAGATTCCTGTCCATCACCAAACTGCTTCAGTTGTTGTAGCTGTGTATTTTCATATCTAATGGGATTGGTGCTTCTCTCATTAGCCATTATCAGAATTGTCTTGCTTTTCTTACCTGTTTTGTTTGTTTTTGTTTTTTGTTTTTTCCTTCCAGATGATCTATACCTGGGTTATCTAGAGGAATTAGGGGCACGTGAGTAGCTTATCCCAGTCTGCTCTAAACCTGAGCATCCACACAGGTCAGTTGAATTGGGCATTCTTTTTTATTTATTTTGAGGCAGAGTCTCACTCGGTCGCCCAGGCTAGAGTGCAGTGGTGCGATCTTGGCTCACTGCAACTTCCACCTCCCAGGTTCAAGCGATTCTCCTCCTCAGCCTCCCGAGTAACTAGGACTATAGGTGCGTGCCACCATGCCCAGCTAATTTTTTGTATTTTTAGTAGAGACAGGTTTCACTGTGTAAGCCACGATGGTCTTGATCTCTTGCCCTTGTGATCTGCCCGCCTCAGCCTCCCAGAGTGCTGGGATTATAGGTGTGAGCCACTGCGCCTGGCCAAACCGGGCACCCTTAACTTATGACTCTAAAAATGGCTCTCTCAAAAATGGCCATTGATTGAGAGAAATAGGCAAAAAGAAAAAAGAGAGTAGTGGTAGCACCAGTGCCCTGACTACCCCAAACTCTCACTGCTGCTGACTCATCTGCCATCCCAGGAGGTGGGGCAGGATGCCCACACCATGTGGGCACGCTCTCCCGGACCGATGGAGGTGGTGTTGCTGATCGGCACTAGCCAGCAAGTCCACATGGCCATGCTGGCTTTCTTATCACGGAACCTACGTTCACAAACCATCATGAGGCTCGCCCTCCTTTCCTTAAACCATCACCACAGGGAAGCATAAAAAAATCTCTGTACCTTATCAAGTTTCAGAATCCCCTTGGAATTTTGCTTTGAACTAAATGAAGTCTCATTTAGGAAGAATTACTGTCTTTAAAATAGTCTTCCTATTATATAGAAATATATTAAGAATCTCCATTTTTTCAGGTTCTGTTTATAAGTATCAGTCACATTTTATAATTTTCTTTATATCAATCACAAAACAGTCTCATCGATATTATTTAAAAAATTTTTAGGCCGGGCGCGGTGGCTCAAGCCTGTAATCCCAGCACTGTGGGAGGCCGAGGCGGGTGGATCACGAGGTCAAGAGATCGAGACCATCCTGGTCAACATGGTGAAACCCCGTCT